GCATCGGACCGGGATACACTATTGGTGATATGCAGCTCGGGTTCGAATTATGCACATGTACTGAGCGCACCCCATAACGAATTCACGCCTGGAATGAGTGAGCTGGATTCGGGGTACACCGGACCCAGCCTTAGCCACAAGCACCAAGTACGTTAAATCCGCGGGGCAACACAGGTTCCAAAATGCACAGGGTTCGATATATATTGCGCCACTTACACCGAGTGCACCGATCTCAGGACATATCTAATTATCCCTGGGTTACTCTACTTAAATCGGATTTTAATCACGTTATTCTACTATGTTTCTTAATGTTCAGTCTAAAATCGGGTAATGGTTGTTGCAATTAAACGGACTTCATTTACTCTATTAGTAATTTTCAATTAATAGAAAGAAGCGGATTTCTCAGGTTTCCGGAAATGACTAGTAGTCAATTTCACTCTTTCATCGTCGGATTCATAGCTTCTCTCTCTCTTTATTATCAAGTAAAAGAAAATTAACATTTTTATTTCATACAAAGATACAGAATCAGACAATCTATAAGAACACATTATGTCTACTCTTTTTAACATCAGTTCGGAACGGAAATCTTTCTACTCAGCTCTTAATTAATCAAGTAATATTAATTAATTAGTTATTCTAATTTCTAAATCAATATCCCGCTACTTGAGAACTCAAATTATCCCATTCAAATATCTACTCATCGCCAGTAAACTCGTATCCAACAACACGGCGCGTCGATAAAACAGAATCTTGTCAAAAATCAAATTGGTGAGTGGGAGAACGAGCGTCAGCTGTTCCCCCTTTAAAGAGGCAATTATCCCACCCCTCTAAAGACTCGACTGATCCGCGGGCGCGATCATCCCTTCGCGAGAATCTAAAGGAGGGGATTCCGGGCCCTCCGCAAACTGGCTTCTACTGGCTTCGGTGCCTTCTCCTACTTTGTGACTCGATGAGCACTCCTCAAGGGTCCGCCCGCAAAAATCTAAGAGAATGACTTAATTAAGAAGCATTCCCATCAACGCGTGACTCGATGAACAGTCCTCTAGGGTCCGCTCGCAAATGACTAGCTTACACCATACGTGTACGAAGCGTAGTGTCGGATGCGCGCTCATGCCGAGCCTTTAATAACTCTCAGCGATACGGTACGGGAAGACGCGAAAACTACCTTTCGCCCTCTGGTGCGCGCCGTAGCAACGCACCGATTCAGAATTTCTCCTCGACGGTTCTCTCTCTCTCTTCGGATTCTTTCTCGTTTGCATTTCAGTAGATTCTCAATAACAATTCTAATTCTTGATCAATAATTCCGTGTGACGGCTCATTTGAAAGATCTTTTCAACGTTCAATTTTTCCCATCAAGTACATAAAAATAATAATAATAATAACTTATTTGTTTTCAACAAAAGCGTGAAATTAAATTATTTTCCAAACTTATTTTTCGTAAATTTTCTTCATTTACGATTCTTACTCTGTATTTTCATCAATTTTCGGACTTTTCTTAATAAATTATTTATTCTGCAATTCTGTAATTTGTGAGATCCTCACATAGCACGGGAAAAGAGCCGCAAAGTGGCGGCCAGGAAGAAATTCCAGTGCCAGCACTAGAAATTTTATTGGGGAAAACGTGAATTTTTCCTCGNCTTCGGATTCTTTCTCGTTTGCATTTCAGTAGATTCTCAATAACAATTCTAATTCTTGATCAATAATTCCGTGTGACGGCTCATTTGAAAGATCTTTTCAACGTTCAATTTTTCCCATCAAGTACATAAAAATAATAATAATAATAACTTATTTGTTTTCAACAAAAGCGTGAAATTAAATTATTTTCCAAACTTATTTTTCGTAAATTTTCTTCATTTACGATTCTTACTCTGTATTTTCATCAATTTTCGGACTTTTCTTAATAAATTATTTATTCTGCAATTCTGTAATTTGTGAGATCCTCACATAGCACGGGAAAAGAGCCGCAAAGTGGCGGCCAGGAAGAAATTCCAGTGCCAGCACTAGAAATTTTATTGGGGAAAACGTGAATTTTTCCTCGTAGGGGAGGGTGGGGCAAAACGGCCCCTCTTCAATTGTCAATAACTTGTGAATGACATTGTGAAAATTCCCAGTTTCAACTGCATTTTGAAGATAATTTTTCATTCTCCAAAACGAGCTCTAACTCATCCCAATCGGATTATTGAATCGGAAAATATTGACGGTTGAAGGGGGGCCGTTTTGCCCCATCCTCTCCTATTTCTGTGAAAATTTCACAGAAATCCCCAGAAATTTTACCAGAAATACCAAGAAATTTTACCTTAACAGCACTAGAATTTTTAGCAGCCGGTGGATTGTAATTTTTTCCAGTACTCGTACTAGAATTTTTCTAGAAAATTTCTCTCCATGTAGTGTTGAATTTTTTTTTTATCTTTTCTAGCGGCGTCACTTTTTATACTATCAGGGTAATTTTGGGCTTAAAATAGGCGGAGTGTTTTCAATATTATCTGAGTATACATAACTCCATATCAACAAAGTGGACCCTTTTCATATACGGACGACAACATTATCTTGAAATTTCGATAAAATGGTATAGACCACTCGGACATAAACTTTGTTTTCAACGAATGAGGGTACAGAAACCGACATTTGTGCTCGTGTGCTCTTGTTCTAATTAGAAAAACTTTTTTCATGCATATTTGAATGAATTTTAAATACCATATTTGCGGAAACCATTGAGAAATTCGCATTCAGAGAAATTTCATAAAAATTCGAAATTTTTTTGACGTGGATATGTCTATGGTTTGTATATGGGGGGACATTTTGGGAAGTGGTCCTTATCTGCAGGGCCACCTGTTGGAATTCTAAAAAATTCTAGACATTTCGAGGTAATTCGAGAAGTTTCTTGAAATTTCGCAAAAATTCAAGGAGTTTCTAGAAATTTCGAGGAAATTCACGGAGTTTATAGAAAATTCGAGAAAGAGGGACAGACCATGGACGTATCTTCGTACAATTGCGGCTGTAGCGAAGATACAACCGCGTGCATTCTTTTTTTAAATTATTAGATTTTTTACAATATACAATTTTTTAGAGCCGTCATCATTCAATGAATTCAGAATATTTTTTTCTATTCATCGTGCACGAGACATCGGATTTTTGAAAAAAAATGAAAATTGTAAAAATTAATATATGAATTAATTTTTAATTAAGGTTGATGGATAAGGCTCAACAATACCTACATTTGAAGGAAAAAGATCAAATTCCATCGATTCATTAGCGAACAATTGAGGAAAAACTTGGTTACATACATACATACATGAAGGGAGAAAAAAGTTGAAGAAAAATAATCACACAAGTCAAGTAATCGTGCAGCAACCTCGATTTCCAGTACTTTTTCATCTTAAATAGGAGAAAAAGGGTGAGATTGATAGTAAATTTTACTCCGTTTTTCCGGGAAAATTTACTAAACGTGAGGGTGATTTGTACCGAAACTGTAAAATTGACCCTGTATCCCATCAAAAATTATCCCAGTTCACGGAGAGAAATTTTTGATAAAAATTATCCTACTTTAATTAAAAATTAATTCATATATTAATTTTTATAAAAGTGTATCATGAGTCATCGTTTCCTAATTTCTATCCCGAAATTTAGTAATAGTATATTTCAGCACGTGTGGGGCAATTTCGTCTTTAACGTGTGTGGGGTTTACAGCATGAGCCGAAGGCGAGTGATGTAACCACACACGTTAAGGACGAAATTTCCCCACAAGTACTGAACAAAATTTTATGTCACGAAGCCTGAAACCGGCTGAATTAGACACGAGACGCGAAGCGTCGAGTTTCAGGTTGCAGGCATGAGTGGCATAAAAATTAATATATGATGATCAAATTTTATTCTACGTTAGAGAAATTTTATCCTGCCGCATAAGAAATTTTACCCTTCCAGTCCAATAATTTTTATGTAGATAAAAACCAAAATTCTAGAACGGTTGGTAAATTTTAAGGTGCCGGTACAGTAATTTTTGCTCTACTGGAACGGTAATTTTTATTTTCATCAGGATGAATTTTCTCTAACGTAGAATCAAATTTGATCATCATATATTAATTTTTACTAAATTTCGGGATAGAAATGAGGAAACGATGACTCATGATACACTTTTATAGAATGGTAGGATAATTTCTATCGAAAATTTCTCTCCGTGCATTCATATAGTGAAATGTGTCACGATTTTCAAATTTTCTCTCCGAGTGCATACGGACAGGATCTACAAATTCCATTTTCAGACTTTTGGATCATAAAGGGTTGATATACCACTATCATTATATTTTACTGAAAAGAATTATTATTATTTCAAATAATTGATTTTTCAGTTTTATAACTATAACATTTTATTATTATTATTATTATCATTATTATTCTTATGATTACAGGTGTATATATACACTACTGTATATCGCCACCGTCCTTTTAACGGCAAATATTATTAAAATTATAAACTTAAATTTGTGCGATCACAAAGCTTTCATTCGGAAGCAAAAACGGATACCCAACTTGATTTTTTGGAATCTAACAAATTCAACATGTTTTCTACTGTTTTAAATTTTACTTTTAAAACAGTACAGTCTCATTCTACTGTTTTAAAAGTAAAATTTAAAACAGTAGAATGAGACTTAAAACTTAAAAGTCTCATGATGTATCAAAGTATCGATCGACGAGTCCTTTTAGTGACCAAGAACTTAGAAGTTTGGGGGTGGTCCTCCTTAAGGTATTTCGTTCCAAAAAGGTAAACTATGACATGCATTCGGGACTTCATGTAGAATATTACCCGGCGTGTCGTTGCAACTACGATGAAGGCCCTACAAAAGTGATACTCATATACATGAGTGATACTTTTGTAGGGCCTTCATCGAAAGAAAATGATGACATCGATTTGATAATCGATGTCACCATTTTCTTTCAAATGAAACTCGTCAAATCATTCATCTCAAACAATTCAAGATTTGATGTTTTATCCATGTATTCAGATGATATAGAAGCACTTCAAGCTGCTTTGGATCGTGATAAGGGTCACAAGGGTAAACGAGCTAAGAAAGCCCAAAAACGTGTACGCAGAAGTGGTAAGAAGAATAAAAGAAAGAAGGAAAAAGACTTGACTCCTGATCGCACGACTGAATCCTTATTCGAGGAGTTACTTACCAACGGGATCATCAAGCTTGTTCCGGAGATTTATCTGAATTCCTTCAAGGGGGAAAAATCTTACGCCAATTTTGAACTCTGGGACAAGGGAAAGGACAATCTGCCGACAATTGGTGGGGACTTTCATTTATAACGAAATTATTCAATATATAATTCAATGCATATGAAATTGTTTTATACTTGAATTCAACTGAAAAATAATACGGAAAAACCTAGCGCATTCGCTAGAAAATTGAATTTGCTTTCCATCACACTGTTCGAAATTTCTTGAAATTTCGTGGAAAATATGAGAGTAATTCTCGTGAGAGTGACATTGAATCGGATTTGGGGGAAATATGATCACGAAATTTCAAGTTTTAGGTAGAATTCAAGGAAATTCATGAGTTTTCAGTGCGAATACATAGCAAAAACAAATGTCTGAATTTCACACACCTTTTGTAGACATTTTTCAGACACTAAAAAACGTCTGAATAAAATGAAAATGTGTCTGAATTTCAGACGAACAGGTGCCGAAACATCTTGATTCATGTTTGAAATTCAGACAAACTTTCATTTTATTTAGACATTTTTTAGTGTCTGAAAAATGTCGACAAAAGGTGTGTGAAATTCAGACATTGGTTTTTGCTGTGTAAGCTGTGTAACTTGATTGAATTTTCAATAGAAAATGAATGATCAGGTACAAAATAACACGAATTTTCAACTTTTCCCTGACTTTTCAGAATTTTCACGGAAGGATTGAACTGAAAAATCAAGCAGTTCATTGATTTTCAGATCATTCGAACAGAAAAACAGTGGAATATTTGATTTTTCGATGACGAGATCTCCCGAAATTTTAGAGGAAATTGAACACGATAAAGAGTTCCAGGATTTGACACGGAAAATTCAAACAAAAATTCTTAACAGTGTAGAACTCTTTCCAAACCGTATTAAGATTCTCTTGGGAATTCTATTTGGTTATCGCCAATTTTTATTGCAAATTTTTTAATACATATTTAATGGGAAAAGTCAACAGATTTCATATAACTCATCCTGCTGTGCATTATTCAAAGTAAGAAAAAGAATTCAGTAGCGAAGCGGTGAACCGGGTTAAGTCGATTTTGACTACTGACCAACTTGTAACGAATATCTCGGAATCTACAAGAGATAGAATTTTTTTTGTCATGACCAGTGATCGGCATCAATCATTATTCCAGAAATATTAAGAGAATTATTTTCCCAAAATAACCGAATTCATTCGTTTATCATTGGAACTTCTATTTGGAAGTTTTATTACTTGATTGAGTATTTATGAAATTAATGGTAATGATAATTTATGATTATACCTATCTCTGGTCATGACCTTTTTTGTAGAGCCAATTGAGGGTTATAATAAAGGTCGAGAGGAATATTTTGCTACCTCTCTTAGATTCCGAGATATTCATCAAAAACTGACCAAAAGTCAAAATCGACTTAACCCAGTTTACCGATTCTCTACTGAATTATTGAGCGTGAATTTTCTGGGTTTTCTTTCCTGAATTCCGTCATGAGAACCAAAACATATAGTAGTGAAGAAAACTATAGGGAATTTATGGCTAAGAATATCTGTAGGAGGAACCTCAAGAGAGTATGTCATACAGAATAATTAAAATCTACTTTTTTCTATCGAATGTCCGTAAAAAAATCGCGCAAAAACATTGTAACCCTTTCAATAAGATCTGAATAGAATTTCTAATCAAATTTCTGTAAAATGTAATAAACTGAATTCCAATAGAAAATTGATATTCGATTAGTTGTGTTCACACTTCAATCAATTTCCGGGATGTTTATCCAAAACCACGAATACTTAAAAACAGTTCGGATTTTTTTTCAAGTGATATAAACGCAGTTATCTCCTTCATGTTGGCAAAAATTTGAACCCAAGTTGATTATTTCGAAATAAAATAGGCCATGTGCACCAAATGTAGGCATGAGATTAAATGTTTTAAACATCTCCATTATTTTCATAGATATTCCAAATTTTGGTCTGGCCATTGTAAAAAATCCTTGGCTGAATTTTCCGGTACATAAATATATCGAAATGTCAAGAAATTTCATAATTTAAAATTTAAAATCTGGTGAAAAAATCAATGGAAATTGTAAATTTTAGATCTTTCAGATTGTGAATTACAATTATTCCATCAAAATTCCATCATATTCCATCAGAATCCATAGAAATTTTAAAAATTCCGCTAAATATATTCATGAATTTTCAATTAATCCTAAATTCAACGTAATTTGGTATTGAATATTCATATTATGATGAAAAATTTGAGTAAATTAAGAAATTCTTGTTTTTCTGGTGCTCAAAATTCCAAAAAAATTTCAGTGAAATTTGAAATTTTATGATTTTTTCTTTAAATCAAATCCAACGTCCTTCTGTTAAAAGTTACAACTAAACTGTCGGAAAAATTTCAATTTTCTTCTAACAGTGTTAAATTTAGTATATTTTTTCACTTGTCCTCTACTTGTTTTCATTTTTGAATTCTTCAAACACTTGATTTATCAATTTCAAAGAAACTTTCTATAAGCACTCGATAGATGAAAAAAAAAATTTGTTGATGTAATTTCGTCATAGCTGATGCAACTGATTTTCCGTGCCCATCGGGCGAGTTAATTTCATACATTCTTCTACTAGCCAAAAAAATATATAAAATTATTCTCAATTATTTTAATTCTCTGATAATTGAAAAACACCCTCATCATCCAATTCAAGTCGTTAAATCATTTAATGTCTTCATGCTTTTAGAATAACTCGGAAAAATCTTTCAGGCGAAATACGACAGCTAGTATCTGAATACTGCATCCTCCCCCTTGCAACTGAAAACGTACGCCTCCTGTCTCCGGTAGTGCGTTCAGTCCTGATAGCAGGACCAAATGCAAGTGGTAAGAAAATGTTGGTCCGCTCAGTCTGCACTGAACTGGGTGCAACTCTCTTCGACATAACACCAGCCAACATTGCTGGTAAATATCCAGGAAAATCGGGACTAATCATGTTGTTGCATTTAATCTCGAAGGTACCAAAACCCAATAATGAATAGAATAAATTTGATACTAAAATCCCAATGGGAAACAATAACATAAAAAAATTCCGTGATTCAAGAAGATCGTTTTATGAAAACTTTATCAAAGCTTTAATCGACTTGATTCAAGTAGGAAAGATACTTGGTTCAAGTATTTTCCTAGTTGATTCAAATAGAACTCGACTTGAATCCAGTAGGAAGGTCCTGGGAGGAAACTCAAGTTGAAATTTTAATTAGTACATTTCGTCATTCACAGAGAAAAAAGTGGATTAGCTTTAGAAACCACTTTTTAGATTTTAGAAACTCCTGTTCTAAAGGTACTTCCTCAGTGAGTTATACTTGGTGAAAATTTTGAAATGAACTGAAGACCTAAAATTTGGATCATATCGTCGCATTAAAATCAAAGGGGCGTAAGTGCCATTTCTCTGAGATTTTTTTTTCTTAATACCAAAGGGGCGTATGTTTTTTTTTCCTTCGAAATGGAGTTTTCTCAACTTATGAAAGGTTTTTTGTGGACAAATTTCTGAAGTGGCAAATGGACGTAAGTCCGACTAGCAAGTACTGAAGGGGCGTATCTCCAGCACATACGCCTCTTTCTTTTTATACTTTTTGTTTCTTTTCTAGCTCATATTGAGAATGAATAATTCCAAAGGGGCGTAACTCAGGCACATACGTCCCTTTGTTTTTGAAGCAATAATCACAGAGGGGCGTAACTCCAATATATATGTCCCTTCATTTGTTACTGTTCGTTCCTATTGATTCATCAAGTATAAACGGAATCACATGCACTACAGCCCTAATAATAAATAATATTTGATTCTACATTAACCTCCCCTCCCTCCCTCTCATCATGAATGTTCAAATTATTTCCCTTTGATTTTTTGCTTGAATGAAACAATTTCATGAGAAATATCAGTAACTAAACTAAAATTTTCTAAAATTTTCTTCTAAATTTATTCGATTTCATTCATTAATTTATTTCATTTTTTTAAATTATGACTGCGAATTTCAGGAAATTATCTGTATGAAATTTCGAGTCGTGACTGCTTTGAACACTTCGGAAGAAAATGAGACCATAAAGGAAGAAGAAAATAGTTAAAGCGTTTTATGTTGATATAACAATATAAAACTCATTATCGCGAGTAGACCTAAGATATAATGAGAGAGAGGCGTATGTGGGACTTACGCCCTTTTCGTTTTATTTCAACATGAAATGTGTCATCCGAAGTGCACAACACATAATGTAAAAAGGGCGTAAGTGTCATTTTTTGAATGAAATGAAACAGACGTAAGTGTGGAGATACGCCCCTTTCCCGTTGAAATATAGCAATTACGCCTTTTTCCTAGATTTTTTTTTTCCGATTTTTGGTCAGAAATTCCATGAAAAACCGAAAAAACAGGAATTCGGAACATACGCCCCTTTCACTTTTAAAATGGGTTTTTTGGCACTTACGCCCCTTTGATTTTAATGCAACGATATATTGTTGAGGATATGTAAAAACGACGCCCAAAATTTCAAGTATTTTTTCCACGCGAATTTTTGAGATATCCATCGTCAAACATTCAATTTTTGTTTTTTTCAAGTTTTTGTCGATGCATATCTCGAAAATTCACGTGGAAAAAATACTTGAAATTTTGGTAATCGTTTTCACATGTGCTTAACAACATATGATCCAAATTTTAGGTCTTCAGTTCATTGCGAAATTTTCACCAAGTATAACTCACTGAGGAAGTACCTTAAGGGGTAACAGAAGGCCAACATTTCCTCGAAATTTTCAAACAAATTTCCTGCTCAAAGTTATTAGTATTTTTTAAACCCAAAGCACATTGCCCTTCATCATCACCTCCTGGAGAGTAATGTGCTTCGATTTGTAAAAATATCGATAAATTTGGGCAGGAGATTTGTTGAAAAATTTGGAAAATTGGCCGCATTCTGTGACCCCTTAACGATGTTCCGGAAAGAAGTAGGATATTCGAAAAATGCAGCCAATTTCATAATTTTTTTTTCACATATTGTTTAATCCATGTAGGCACCCCTTGCAAAATTTCAGGTACGTTACCCGCGTGACCACTACTGTCACACATTAAGTATATTTTGGTTTAAAATTAATCCCAACTTTGATCACTAATTTTAAACGATTTTTTTCTAAAACTCCGAAAAAAGTTTAGCAACCACAGTTTTTCAAATTTCGAAACTTTTTTCTAAAGCTAATCCACTTTTTTTCTCTGAGTTAGGCCGTAAATAGTATACATGTGCCCGAGTGGAAATTCTGTTCAGGTCTCGATCAGAAATTGATCATAACTGATCAGGCATGTTACGCCTCTGCCTTAGGTTTTTCCACTAGGGTGCGCCAAGGGCGGAAAGTCATGTTTTCCCCGCCTAAGGCGCACACGCTATTTTTTAACACGCCTGCAATGAAGAGTTTGCATTTTTGCTTCCTGATAAGCGGGGGAAAGTATTCACCGCTTATCAAGGAGGAAAGTATGAACTTTCCGTGCCGGTGTGTGAAAAAAATACAATTGCAGCAATCATATGAGAATAGTATATTTCGATACGAGTGCGTAGGAATATTTTTGTAATAACGGCCGCAAGACAGTGTTTCACGGATGCGCAGCGGAATGACAAAAAAAATTCATTATGACTGAAGGTTTAACCGATCTCACAACTGTGTCATATCATCCTCATAATTAAGAATAAATAAAAACTTTGTAAAAACTAAAAAAAAATCGCATGAATTGCAGGTATCACGGCTACTCCAGCCATCAGTGATATTCATGGATGGGGCTGAGAAGCCGTTCGTTAAAAAAGTCCCCAAGACCGATAAAACCGATCCTAAAAGATTGAAGAAAGATTTACCAAAGTTAGTTAAAAGTTTTACAAACGAGGATCGCGTTATTCTAATTGGCACAACGAGTTCACCCTGGGATGGGGATCAGAAGCTGCTTTATCAAACGTATGACAAAGTTATTTACATACCCCGACCCGATTATGGCACCATGTCAATGCTGTGGAAGGATTTGCTTTACAAAGTGAGATACTATTATAAAAAAACGTTGATATGTTAAATGTACACGCAAAACGAAAGAAAAACTGATAAAAAAAACTCGTCGTAATTGTGATTAGTAAAAACATTGTACCGAAGCCATGGTCATGCGATCACGTAGTTCCATACGAATGTTAGAGTCAAGTGTAATATACAGCCTCAAAGCTGATACACACGTGATATTGATATTTTTTTTCGCAGTACGCCGGAATCAGCAGACAATTTGATACGTCAGCAATGACCAAGATCTGCGATGGTTTCACTCTAGGACGTGTTATCGAATCTATTAATGAGGTAACGTATTTTTTATTTCATTGGAATTTATTGGATTTATTCAGAGGGTATTGGTATTGGTATTGACAGATTTACTGATTGTACATTTTGTTATACAAAAAATAAAGATGATCTCAAGTGGTCAAGCCACAATAAAATTGGAAACAATGAAACAAGTCCTAGTGGACACTGCTCTCAACAGTATCAATATAAAATATAAAATAAAATATTACTAACGAAAAATTCATAAATTTGTATATTTACATTATGAAGCTTAAGTTTATAAAGCTCTCTAGATGAATCGTAGTAGTAGAAGGAAGAGGGGGGAGTGGAGGAGTCGTTTATTCATGATTTGTCTACATAGGTCATGACGACTAAGAGGATGGTGCAGCTTAGAGTTCAGCCTTTGACACATGCTGAATTGGTTAATGCGTTGAGTGCTAGGGATCCGGTGTATAAGGAAGAGGAAGAAGCTTTCCTGGGTATGAATTCAGTAGTGAAGCGGTAAAAAGGTTTAACCCTCGATCACTCGCGCTAGGCCGTTGGCCGTCATCCGTCGCACGGTTAGTGCAGCGCGGCTGGGTTAAACCGAGTGCGCTGTTGTCACGTCGGCGCTTACCGCTACGTGCGCATTTCAAGTGTGGCAGTGAATATAGCAACACTGGCGCTCGAGCGGTCAACAGGGAGTCACTCGCACCGGGCGGCGCGGCGCCGCTGTTCAGTCCGTTCAACATTTTTTTTTAGCTGAAGAAATTTTCTGAGAAAAAACGGACAACATCAACGCTTAATAAGAGGATTAAACTAGGAATTCTAATTTTTTCAGATTTTTTAAAGGTCGGGAAACACGGTTAAATATAAAATAACGAAAACGAGCGGCGTCGCGCGCTTTAAGAGAGTAATCGAGGGTTAAGGGAATACGTAACCCCTGCGTCTATATGAACTTTTAGAATTGTGTTTCATTCTACAATTATCGATTTTTATTTATGAAACTACTTTATCGACTCGATCATTGCATTGTTGATTCAATGAAGTAGTTTTATTAATAAAAAATAATAATTGCAGGAGGAAACACAATTCTATAAGTTCATAGAGATGCAGGGGGTCTGTTCCCCCTTAAGTCGATTTTGATTATTGGCCAGTTTTCAATAAATATCTCGAAATCTAGGAGAGATGGTAAAATTGTTGTCATGACATTTTTTGTAGAGCGAAATAAGGGCGACAAAAGAGGTCACTACTAAAATTTCGTTGTCTCCCTTAGATTCAGGAATATTCCTCATTTCAGCGTTNGGGATCCGGTGTATAAGGAAGAGGAAGAAGCTTTCCTGGGTATGAATTCAGTAGTGAAGCGGTAAAAAGGTTTAACCCTCGATCACTCGCGCTAGGCCGTTGGCCGTCATCCGTCGCACGGTTAGTGCAGCGCGGCTGGGTTAAACCGAGTGCGCTGTTGTCACGTCGGCGCTTACCGCTACGTGCGCATTTCAAGTGTGGCAGTGAATATAGCAACACTGGCGCTCGAGCGGTCAACAGGGAGTCACTCGCACCGGGCGGCGCGGCGCCGCTGTTCAGTCCGTTCAACATTTTTTTTTAGCTGAAGAAATTTTCTGAGAAAAAACGGACAACATCAACGCTTAATAAGAGGATTAAACTAGGAATTCTAATTTTTTCAGATTTTTTAAAGGTCGGGAAACACGGTTAAATATAAAATAACGAAAACGAGCGGCGTCGCGCGCTTTAAGAGAGTAATCGAGGGTTAAGGGAATACGTAACCCCTGCGTCTATATGAACTTTTAGAATTGTGTTTCATTCTACAATTATCGATTTTTATTTATGAAACTACTTTATCGACTCGATCATTGCATTGTTGATTCAATGAAGTAGTTTTATTAATAAAAAATAATAATTGCAGGAGGAAACACAATTCTATAAGTTCATAGAGATGCAGGGGGTCTGTTCCCCCTTAAGTCGATTTTGATTATTGGCCAGTTTTCAATAAATATCTCGAAATCTAGGAGAGATGGTAAAATTGTTGTCATGACATTTTTTGTAGAGCGAAATAAGGGCGACAAAAGAGGTCACTACTAAAATTTCGTTGTCTCCCTTAGATTCAGGAATATTCCTCATTTCAGCGTTTCACTACACGGAGAGAAATATTCAATAAAAATTACGTATCTTTTCCGTAATTCTGGAGCGAAATGTGGTTGTAGGAAATTTTACGGAACTGTCACGGAATTTTTGCAGATCGTTCCGTAATTTTTATCTGAATCTCCTGTGAAACATTACGATACCGTCACTTAAATTTTCTGAGTCGATTCCATAATCGGTGAGCGAATTGTGAGTTCCGTAATTTTTACTAAACATTTCTCTCCGTGTACTGAATTTGTTTGGATTGATCTGTGAGTCTTGACTATTCTCGATTGATAATGCTAATAAGTAATTTATTTCAGCGTGGTTTTCGAAAACTCCTACCTGTAGGAAGAAACAGAAAGCGATTGAGCTGGAGCTCCAGAAGATGGAGGAGGCGAATGAGAAGCAGAAGAAGAAAGGGAAGAAATAATTGCTGGGAGTATTGTGGAACTTTCAAATGTTTAATTCAACTTCAAAAATCTCTTTTTTGGAGGAGAAAATTCAGTACAAACTCCCTTTGTTTTTGTGCAGAGTAAACAAATGCACTGATGAAGGACATTTTGAGTGTCCGGAATGTTGGCAATTAGTGAAAGAATTTGTTTCTCTATTCGTTCTTTTTTTTTCATTGCTTGTATTACTTGTACAATTACTTGAAAATGATTAAAAATTACTTGGACAATTGCAGTGAAAAATGTTAATAGCTGAGAAGTAGCGAGATTTTTGAAGAGGAATGAAAATTGTTGGATTATTTTTCCCAATCGGATTTGGACCAATCAGAGCGCAGTATTTGAGGCTACCCGACAGTTTTATTTCGGATATTTCCTCCTAGCTTTTGAATATTTCGCAGTAGTTCTTAATTTTTTTTTACGTGAATATTTCTAAGTAGCCCTTCATTTTTTCGGCTCATTTCAGATAGAATCTTAAATTTGACAGTCTATGGAAATCGGGTTATTCTATTAACATAATTTGTTCAAATCTTCCTCAATTCACCTCCTGATGTTGTCCACTGCACTCTGCTCGGCCAAAATCCGATTGGGAAAAATAATCCGACAAATACCCCTCGAGATTCAAAATTAATCGGGTATTTCCCTCAAGCTCCCCTGCAAACTCGCGCAAGCGCTCGGGATTTTTTTTTTTAACCTGCAAAACTTGACACCCTCATTTATTTGCAACGAAGCTATCGGAAAATACCCGATAATTTTGCAACTCTTAAGTTATTACTACTGATTATTTTTGGTAATCGGATCTGGCCTTCCCTGGGCCAATCAGAGTTCAGTATTCAATAAGATGAAGTACTTCCCAATTAAAATTACAGCGGTTATTTCCCCCTTGCTTTTGATAATTTCCCTCTAGCTCTGCAATTGTTTCTCTAACCATATAACTGTCAAATTTATCCTGTGGAGTGAAAGAAAGTCATCAAGAAACTCAAAATGAGTCGGTTTGGGAAGGATCCGATTACCAAAAATAATCCGTCGAATACCACTCGACCTCCAAAATTAATCGAACATTTCCCTCATGTTTTCCTGCGTATCAACGATCGGGATAAGTTTTGCACAAAAATCTGCAAAAATCCCTCGCGTTGCGCGCTTGTGATTTTAATCCACAAAAAATCTCCCTCGTTGCTACGCAACAAAACAATCGCCAAATATCCGATAATTTTGGAGGTTTCGTGGTATTACTGCTGAATAATTATGATGAAATATTTGATTGAAAAAAAATCTCAATTGCTCGAGGCTTTCAAACTTGTAGGCTCTTGGTCGCTGAAGTGACCATATAGAGACTTTTTTCATACATGATGCATTTAAATCAAATAAACGATTTCTTCAATTCAAATGAAAGATTATTCCATGTTAATAAATTCATTTAATTGTTAACTGCTAAAATATTCATTCGGATTATATTAAAAAACTAGTAATAAAAGTGAAATTCAACTTTAGATAGAAGCTTCATTGCGGGCTATTTGACAGAACCCATTTATTTGCAGGGATGGCCATCAATCTTCCGATTCTCCAATATTAAAAGAATTTCCGACTTACATTGATCAAGGTTTAAATATCCTAATCGAAATTTAAAAAAAGTAAAATAATTGATAATCTAAATTTCCAATTGATGATGAATTAAATCTTTAAAATATGAAACTATAAATTTTCTATTAAATAGACAATACTAAATTTCTTATAAGGAATTTCCGATTATCCAAATAATCGTCAATCTTCCTAATTCAATTACTGATTAATGAATAATTTAAAAAAATCACTATTTNTAAGGAATTTCCGATTATCCAAATAATCGTCAATCTTCCTAATTCAATTACTGATTAATGAATAATTTTAAAAAATCACTATTTCCGGTGGCTTGGCGCAGTGGGTAAGTTCGTTGCTTCACATGCGAAAGGTTCCGAGTTCTAATCCCGGCCGGGTAGAATGGGGCGGTCTAACCATTTAAGGATGTTCGACACCCTTTTAGCCAAAATTGACGTTGTTTTCATTTTTCTGGCAAATTATCGATGGGAGTGACGTGAAAAAATATAACGATTTTGTGGTTTGTCATTCTTTAATGGCTCACGAAGTTGCGTAGTGGTGCGATAATTTTCATGCGTTTTTTCTACAGTTTTGTGATTTTTTTTAAAAGTTTAGAGAAAACGCAGGAAAATGTTCGCACCACCTTAAAATTTCGTCAGTCATTAAATAATGACAAAACGCAAAAACGTTATATTTTTTCACGTCAATTCCATCATAAGTTCGCCAGAAAAATTAAAAAAACGTGAATTTTGGCAGAAAGGGTATAGAACATCCTTAAAGTTTGATCATCATCGCAGTATACCCTAACCGGGTCGAAGCGATGTAAAATAACAATAAAAAAAAATTTTTACTATTCAAATAGATGATTATTTCAATAATTAAAAATTTAAAGTGATATTAACCAATGAATATTTAATAATTTAACAGTAATTATAAATTATGGATATGGCTATCCCTGTTTATTTGATATGGGTAAAGTTTCTTCAATTGAAATAAACGATTTTTACGGGTGTGGGACATAAAAAAATCGTATAAATACTGAATGAATTGGGTTTGGCCCGTATTTCAAGGCAAAATTCCATCTTTAGGGTTTTCTCACTTCTATTTGAATCCCAATCTTTATTTGATTTAGACATTCATTTAGGCTATTTCACGACCCAGCGTTCCCCCACATTTCACCAGTTTGTGGTAATGGGCGTGTGTCGCCATGCTTCTCTTATGGCGCACTAATACACTGCCGGATCCCCCACTTCCCGAACGTCTAGACGATTGTAGACGTTGACCGTTCAATGATTTGAATGTTCGATAGATAAAACCCAGACATGAAAATTGTATATTGTAAATTATGGGTAAGTGCGATGGTCGTGCAATTAAGAACACAAATTTTGAAGGAAGAGAAGAGTTTATTTTGAAGGTTCGTATCTTCGGTATAACTAACGGACTCTACAGACACGAAAACTGGCTGCGGACCTCTGTTACAAAGGAAATAACAGATATCTTTGTGGAAGGAAATTTTCTCCGAACCCCTGAAGTAGACACAAGCCCTCAACACATACATGCAAGCGTATTTTCCACTGCAGGCCATGGAGTGATTTTGCCTTCTACATTATTTAAGGGATATCCCGAGACAATACCATCCAAAAGTTAGTCCCTGTAGGTTTTCGGGAAAAATTCTAAACAACTTATTTTATTGCATTTTCATAAGTTATTGAGTTTTTCTATTCTCACATGTTGCTGATGTAGGCAACAATAATTGTTTGAATCAAATAAGAAATGATTTCTCTAAATTACAATTTTTTAGAGTGGAATATCGCAGAAACTATGTGCTTAAAAATTTTTACAAAAAATTCACCGTATTCGTAATTTATCAATCTACCACGGATTCATTTTAATAACATCGTAAGAACCGTTTTCTCATAAAATGAAAAAATCTAGTTCCGGGGGAACCCATAACTCTCGTTTGACTACTCTTTTTCTTTCAAATGGAAGCTCTGTAGTCGTCCAAATTTAAGTTTTTGATTTTTTGTGTGATATCGACCCGGTATGAGTCAAAAAATGTGAAAATGCAATTTCTAGACCTCGTCCGTACGTATGGGGTAAAGTTTTTCTTCAATTGTTCGTCAATAAATGGATGAAATTGAATCTTTTTTTTTAACGTAGGTATTGTTGAGCCCTATCAATCACCACAAATTCAAATTTAATTCATCCATTAGTTTTTTCAATTTTCGATCTTTTTGAAAATCGGTTGTCTCACGATAACTAAAAAAAGATGTGCTGAATTGATTGAATGGTGGCTTAAAAAATTTGTTTGGATATCCGTTTGACCGAATTCGAAGATAAAGGCAATAATAGCAATAATCGTTCTTTTAATTTATGTAAAAATTTGCCAAAATTTTGTATTCTTTTAAAATCAGAATTCCGGGGATATCTTTGAACATCATGCTTCAAATGATTCAATCATAGCTTAAAATATTTGTTTTAATGTCATGATCCCTCTAAGGTAAAAAGCGTGGTAAAGCGTAGTAGGGCGCTCCAGTGGGGACGCTGGCACTCCGCTTCGATGGCCGTAGAGTGGGGATATTGAAATTCACCTTATGAGGTTAAGTCGAAGTTGAAAGATGATTACGATAGCTATTGGGGACGCTTAATAACAAGACGCCCTCTATGAATGTCTGCGTTAAGGGTGCGCATCTACGATAACAAGCAAATGGGGGCTTGTGTGAGCGCGTGTGTGTATACCTCTTTGACGGCCATATTGGGAAAAAACAGCGCCCTCAACGATATTTCCTGTTCCCAATATTGGTCGATTTAATCTTTGTGATGATTGTTGAAAATTTCGAATTTTTCATGAATTTCCCTGAAAATAAGCTTTCTGATAGTTTTTTTCAAATATGATGTTTCAAATCCATTCAAATCTGTATAACGAAAAGTTTTCTGTGACGTGCAATGTAACCGTTCGGAAGCATGAGGCTAATTTATTAGCAAACATTATCATACTATATGCAATACAAGAGCAATTTCCCCCTTATTGTTTTCATTAACTGGGGAATCTGATAAACATTATCTACGAAGAACATGAGGACAGTAGAAAGAAAAACCTGTTTCTTAGGGTGATATCTTAATATCGTACATCCGTGTTGGATAGAATAGATTATGAAAACCCTAACTCTTTCGACTGACTTTTTCTGCTCGTCGCTGTATATCGCCTGAAAATGGTTATTTGAGCAGCTGGAACATTGTAATACAGACCTTTTTCATTCGCATTGAACACCCATTACGATATTATTCAACTACTGAAAATAAGGAGACGAGTCGAATGAGATCGAGATAACTACTTTCCTCGTAGTCTATTTATGTACATTAAGAAGAACAGATACCAAATTTTACCCCACAGTTGCCTACACGGAGA